TTTCTGGTCCTGGCCCCAGGTTACACTTTCAACAAGTTAAACAGGCACAGGAAATTGCAAGTCGGTCCACATGGGCAGATGGGAGATTCTTACAGCAAAGACATGGCCAGAATTGCTTCTTAAGGACACAGCTGGCAGAATTATGCCTTTCTTAAGAGAACTGGAGGTCTTTTACTTTATAATGTTTGTCATCTTGTGCTGCCCTCTTCCTCTGAGCTGCCCCTTAGAGGCATGGTCTTTGATAAAGAGATGGGCCTAATGACCTGTTATATGTCAGCCTTGTCTCCTTCTGTTATAGGAATAGAACCTAATTGGAGGTCAATCTTGGTGACCAAACAGAAGCAGAAACTTTCTCAGCATGCCTAAACTTCAATTATGGTACAATTATTTTTTCTTTCCCAATAGCTTCTAACAAGACTTGGTCAGTGTATTATTTATCTCCAGTCAGATTGGAGTGAGTGTTCCTTCAGCTAACAAGAATGATCAGTGGACTACTTATCTCCCAGTCATATTGGAGGCAGTGCTCCTTAGATAAATCCAACTTCATGTAACTTAATGTTTCCTAAGCAACTTTATCAGTAAATTCTCTATTGTGTTATTTTTATTACCTCAATTTTCTCCTGCATCAATACCAGGTAAGCACATTTGTGATGGTCTCAGGGACTGCCCAGGGCCAAATACCACATAAATGGCATAGTGCAGTTCAAACAACATATGACCATCTGGCCCTAGGGTTCAGCACCTGTCCTCTGTGCTTAGAGTAGGTAGCTTGGGACAACATTTTAAAGCTTTATCTTCAGCACTGGCAGTGTCTAAAACTTCATACACACAGTGATGCTTTTGGACTTTGGAGAATTACTTTGAGTTGCTGCTAAACTTAAAGCATGAAGAAACTTCAGAAACTGCAGAGTGCACATTAAGCTGTGACACTTTAGTCACAGGGCTTGAAGCGCTGCCTTCCCTTTAACTGACAACTGGCCTCTCTCTAGGACCCCGCCAGAGCCTGCCAGTGAAATAGATACCAACAGAAAAGATATTAAAGCAATTAATTTCAGGCCCTAGGCTTCTGCTTGATCTCATCGTCTGAGGTGAGAGTGTGTTTGAAAGCCTGGCTTCTACATCCAAACCCCTTCTGAGCTTCAGAAGATGGCTCTCATCCTAGCTCCCTGTAGAATGTATCAGTGCAAGCCTCAACCTGTCCTACATAGCTTTCTGCAGCCAACACCATAACAGATCATACACTATGCTCAAAAAATACCAGATGTCCTGACTATATTGTATAGAAAAGTTAACTAACAGTCCTGGACAATTTTAGAAGTTCTGACTAAGATAGGAGATAGGCTAGCTTGCAAATGTCTTTGAAGGGTTGGTAATGAGGCTCTCAGTACCAAACTCTTTGCTCCTGTTTTCTTTTAGCTTGAAAACATTAGGTTCCCTTTATTTCTATTGGTAAGTTTCCTGTATGTAAGATTCTCCGATTCATTCATGCTTAGAATTGCACTGTGTGCATGTTGCCATGCAACCTTGGATAAAGTCAGCTTTGCTTCTGTCTTTTCCTCCAGGTACTTAAAGACACATTTCCAGACTGCTATTTGGCAGTCTGCTGACTTTCTTTGCACTCATCCTTTGGACTGGACAGTATTCTTCAACATGCAAATTCACGTTTTCTATCCATCTAGGATACTTCTTTCCCTCTTTTAACCCAAAGTGTATGAACTCGACTCCTGAAGCTCTACCAGTAGAATTAAATTATTTTTTAAACAAAAGACACTAACAGAAAAATGTTACATGTCATCTCACCCACTCGTTGACTGCTTAACTCTAAATTATTGTTGTTTAGATTTGATGTCTCCTACTGAGCAGCTCTAGTGTTCATAACTATAATTAGTTACTTCTTATCTTGCTGCATGATCTTTTTGCGTATTAAATTAAAAAATTCTGGACCTTTCTGTTTTAAATTTCTAAATGGTTGCATTTCTTTCTCTTTTTTTGGTTTTGTTTTCTAAGAATAGTGATCTCTTGTGAAATTATCCATATTTTCTCTTTTAGAACAAGGTCTCACTATGTAGACTAGACTGGCCTTGACTCATAGAGATTCACCCTGCCTCTTAAGTACTAGGATTTAAGGCTTGTCCCACCACACCCAAGTCATCTTCTGTTCTTGTAAAAAGAGTTTATTTCTATCCTAAAGCTATTGTTTGAGCAACTTCAATGCTTTAGTCATCTCTGGTCTCTTTTTTTTTTTTTCATCTTTCTTTACTTTTTTTTTATAGTATTTTTTTTATTTTCTTTCTTTTTTTTTAATTTCTTTTTTTTGAACATGAAATGCTTTTTTATAGCATGTTTTACAAGGGGAGGGGGTAAGAGGGTCCAGGTGGTGGAAAAGTACAAAATCTTCTTGGCCTGTGCCTTGAAACATGTCATGGTCTATATGGTAGACTGCCTTGAATTATGATCTACCTGCTGTTCTTCAGAAGATATGGTACACTGCTTGAGTTATGGTCTCCCTGCTATTCTTAAGAAGACATGGTACTCTGCTTTGAGTCTATCTGCAGTTGCTAAGCAGGATCTTGCAGTTGCCAAGCTTCAGAGGACATTGTGCAGGTGGGGAAAGGTAGGGGGTAAGGGTAAGGGCGAGGGTCCTGGCTTCTGGCATCTCCCCCTTCTCTGTTTAGTTAGAGAAGGTGTCTTATGTTCAATCCCAACTATGTGAGTTTTGAATTTGGATGTCTAATTATGGGGGGTCTTAGACAAGTTCACAACCCCAAAACACTGATGTGAGACGAGTCACATCGATGGTCGAAGGCTTTAGGCTGTCGATGATGGGCAACGTCAAGGGACTCTGATGTGGGTGAAAGGAGGGTGAGAGCCCTGTCTTAGGCCATGTAGGCTGCATCCACTCCCAGCACCACGCACTCCTTTTCGGCTGCATTGGGTGGGCCCCTGGGAAGTGGACCTACAATAATCCCGTCATTGGGCTAACTCACAGCCATCCTAGTCTCTTGTCAATGTTCAAGTTACCAACCATTTGTCAGTTTGGGGTGTAATATTGTCATAAAGGAAGGCTCCCCAATGTTAGCGGCCATATCAAGGGTGGCCTTGGTTTAGGAAAAAGCCAATTTTTGTTGTGGTGATCAAGAGGCCAAGCTCTCTAGCGAGAGAAATGAGGGCAAAGCCAGGCATACCAGGAACCCTTCTGGAGGGCATGGAAGTCTAGGGGTCGACTATAGGGGGAGGCAGGGGAGCTGACAGCTGTGTCAGTCTCCTGCGGAGTCACTTCTGGATCCTCTGCAATTTTCAGCTGATGGTAATGAACTTCAACTGCCTTCTTGATGGCAGCATCAACCTGGTTCCGTGGACGACAGGTCACGGGCGATGATCTCTGTCTTGCTCAATCTTGATGTCGTGCGCACATCCTCTCAATGAGGGTCCGTCCGGATGGGTCCGTGCCTCGAGCCCCACGTCTGGGTGCCACTTGACCCGACCGGCGGGTCCTGGTTATTCGTGGGGGCGAGGAGGACTGCAACCTGCTATTCTTCAGAAGATATGGTACACTGCTTGAGTTATGGTCTCCCTGCTATTCTTCAGATGATATGGTACACTGCTTTGAGTCTATCTGCAGTTGCCAAGCAGGATCTTGAAGTTGCCCAGCTTCAGGGGACCTTGTGCAGGTGGGAAAAGGTAGGGGGTGAGGGTAAGGGCGAGGCTCCTGGCTTCTGGTCCATCTGGATTAGAACTTCTAATAGCAGGCATCACGGGTGATTCAATTTTACCTGGGATGCTGCGTGAGTTCAAGTTCCTGGGAGTCCCTGTTTTTCTTGGTTTTCTGCGGTTGGGTACGGAGCTGCTGCCTGCGACCTGCTCTAAGCTCGGGCCCAAACCGGAAGTCCAGCATCTCTGGTCTCTTTCTGTTCTTATTTGTTTCTCTCTTGGGTTTAGGTCAGTAGATAGCATATGCATTTTTGTGTCAGAACTGGAAAGCCATTGCCTTAAGTGTCTCCCTTCCGGTTGCTTCCACAGTGAACTTAAAGAAGTTACGAGCCTTCATCCTTCTAATCTTTACCACTTATACAAATCTACCACTCAACTGTAGCACAGAGAGATTAGTAAGAAATCTTTCCCTTTCATCTTTTATCAGATAATTCTTCAGGATCCTTCTGAATACATATATGTCTTCTATGTAATTTTTCAATTAGATATACTTAATTGTTTAATCAACTATAAAAGCTAATGTATGGTTCTAGCCATCAATAAAAAAATTTATTATGTGATTTTAAGAGCAGATTATATTCACATTAGCAAATAGCAAGAACTTTAGAAAATATTCTGACTCCACTTTACACCTGACAGAAGAAAGACAATAAAAAGATAGTGATTACAACTACTAAATAGCAAGTACAAAGAAGGACACAGACATAAAAATACTAATTTATACAGACTACTGGTCATATAATTGCTGACATATTTTAGGCATAAGTGATCACAATGATTTTTGTTCTCAATATATCAAAAAATTAAAATTGTCTTAAATTTTACAGTAATAAAGGAAAAACTAGAATGTATTATTAAAGGACATCTTTTAACAGCCCCTTTTATTTGTGAATTCTGAGTGGCACCTGGGTCTCAGGGAAGTCAATGAAACAGAATCTGCACCATTGGTATAAACCCAACTCATAAGTCTCCCAGACCTGAGCACTGCAGTTAGGGTTACATACCAGTCAGTCCTGAGCAATACGGTTAGGTGCAGAGGTATCATGTCTCCACAGACTTTATTCAAAAAACATAAGTCAATTCTATCCTACCCAAATTTAAACCTTGAACATATTTCCATCTTTGAATCAGCTGTTTTGCCTAAAATATGGTTCTCGGTGGCCCTTGCTAAGACTCATTATTAACATACAAATGGAAGTCTACCAGGACTTGCCTAGAGGTTGGGACACAGGGGATCAAGGTCAGTTTTCCCTGTTTGTCTAAAAGCTGATTTAATTAGGTGCTCCTACCTGCAGATGTTGTCACGATTTCTGTGGTATTTCTGAGGCCCATGAAGTCAAACTGATAGAGCCGCCATGATTTCTGATCAGCTGCCTCAACTGAATTTTTCCTCCAACGATAAATCATTTCTTCTTTGGGGTAGCCATCTAAAAGCAGAGCAGATATTAGCACCTGCAAAGTTAGATTCATAAAACATTATGTCAAAATTTGTTTCTGATCACTTGCAGTAGTTACAAGTTTAAGTCCTGTTTTTTAGAGACACAGAAACTCCAAAAGTCAAAGGACTCCTGACACTTGCCTTTTTGATTAACAAGGAATTACTTAGCTAGGAGCCTGGCCATGTTTCTGTGGGTGCAGTAAATAGGACTTTGTTTCTTTAACCAGAACCATGATGGTGAGTTGATCTTTCAAGAGAGGAGGTGTTTTCCAGTGTTAGCATAAGCACCAGCTTTGTCATCCTGGCCTAAGTCTAATACCTAACATTCATTATTCAGGATTGTTTTATTTGCACCACAGAGATGGCCTCATGTATGTATGTATGTATGTATGTATGTATGTATGTATAATTTCATGTATGCCTATACATATTTAGATTTTAATGAGCTTTTCTCACATGGGTTAATGATGCTCTATCCAAGAGGCAAATTCCACCTAACCAAAACCCCGATACCAGCCATGAGAAGCCTTCATTTGAATTGTTGGTTAATACTATATGTCTGGTTTCAAAATATAGCCTGTTGTTGCTGCCTTTGGTTACCTCTCCAGAGGTGGAAGACTCTATTGCTGAAGACAATATGCAATTCAGAAGCAGGGTCTAGATACCCTATAGCTGGAACTGACCTGAATGTCCCCTCCTTGAGTTTTAGCTTTCATGATATCAGAAGGCATCGAAGAGATCAAGAGAGCGAGGAGGGGGCAAGCAGCTCCTTTTATAGTGGGTCAGGCCTACATGGCTGTTGCCAGGTAACTGTGGGGAGGAGCATACCTAGCTATAGCCAGGTAACTGTGAGGGTGGAGTTTAGAGAGAATATTAACAATTTCCTATAGATTTTTTCAAAGTGTTTAACAAAACAGAATTAAAATTTTTTACTAGTACATCTAACATTTAGAATCTTTAGTGACTTGTGAGTTTGTATGTGTGTATGTGTGTGTGCACATGTGAGTGTGTATGTGTTCATATGTGCACGTGCACTAAGAGACAAGAGGACAGTCTCAGGTTTTTTTTTCCCTCAGAAATCAGAAACCATCTGTCTTGTTTTGGGAGTTGGGATCCCTCACTGAACTTGCAAATCTCTAATTGAGCTAGTCTGGCTGGAGAGAAAGCCTTCTCAGACTTCCCTTGTCTCCTTCATCCCAGTGAAACACCTATTGCAGGCCTAAGTCTGTGCTTGCATAGCAAGCACTTTATCTACTAAGATATCTCTCTAGCCCCTTCAACAATTATTTATATTCCAACGTCTTGTCATTTGTAGGTGGATACATTTTTTTCTATTTCTTTCCAGATTCTGTAACATTTCTAGAAACATGACATTTAAAAATAGTGTTTTCATTAATTGTTTTAAATTTTCATACCTGCATCCAATATATTTTGACCATATTCACTTTTCCTCTTTCCTCTCTCTAGACCTACTCTCATCATCTCCCAAATTTATGTCCTCTTTCATTATTACTATCATCATCATCATCATCATCATCATCATGGGTGTTGATTGTGGTTTTCAACCCACTCTTCTAAGGAGGTACAGAGCGCCTAGGCAAAGCCTCCAGGTGCTTGACTCCGGGCCTGCACTCACCACTGCCCTCCCTGTTCTCCCAGCTTCAAGTTCTTCAGCTTAAGTGTGTTCATACCTGCATTCATATCACAGAGCATACAGTGGCCAAACCCTGTTCCTTGGGCATTGATCACTACTCAAAGGCTTTTTCTGCCTTGACCTTCGTAGAAATGAGATGGCCACAGCTTTTCAACAAGCATCAGCAAGAGTTTCCAGTGCTTTACAAATCAGTCTGTCAGCTATACCTTTCTTAAGATTTCACTCTCTCTGGTAGAACATTCTATAAGATACCACTTTCCCTGAAGTAGGCATTATTGCCAGTGATCAGCCTACAAACCAAAGCTGTTCATGATTTGCGCCTGACAATGGACTGGAAGCCATAAGAACTTGGAGCCAGAACCTCCTTCCAAAGCCTTGGTGGAGCCTGGCAGCACACTGAGAAAACAGAACCTTTATGAAGACTTCTCATCCATATAGCCTTTCTCCCTCTTGACATTTTATGTATGATATACTGAATTGAAATTTTTATATAAAACACACCATTGATATCTACATTTATTTTTGTTTGTGTGCTTAAATAAGACAAAAATACGTTCTTAAAACATTCTCAGACAAATACTTCTAAATTCTGATCACAGTTTGTTTGTGGGTACCCACATCAACACACACACACACACACACACACACACACACACACACACACTTATAGTTAAGGACTGTACAGGCCTGCCTTGCTTTTTATTCATGCTACACAGAGCCTACCACTCTGAGTAAGACTGTTCTGCTCTGGGGTCCAAAGTTCATGAGTTCAACTGCTGGGTCACGGGCTCTGAATCACAGGCTTCCTCTTCTGTGTAGTCATGGCCATCAGGATGCACCCCCATGACTCAGAGGCTGGCCTCACAAAGCCTGACGATTGTTATGTCCTCCTCTTCTTGTGTTGCTGGCCCCAGAATTCTCTTCTCTTCGAGGACTAGATTCTGAGTCCTATTGTATGATCCTAGTAGGGTGAGATGGTCACGATTCTTTCCCGTATGACTGAAGCCAACTGGATGGTAGTTTTAGTTTGATTTTTTTTTTGCTTCTCTTAAGGTAGACTCTGTTGTGCTGTTAAGAGGCTGACCTTGTCTGCTCAGAGCTGCTTGCCACCCTGTTGGGCTCTCCTCGTTTCTCCCTTTAATTTGTTATTCCTTCTGATATTGTTTTGGTCAAGGCCTTTCTTTTTACAGACTCTTGTGTATGAGATTTACAAATACTGCTTGTTACTGTTTTAGCTTTTCTTTCCTTTTTCTGTCTTTTCATTCTGTTGTCAAAGCTTCTTTTTTTAATGTCTGTGATTAGAAAACTGCAATTTTCATATCAGCTCAGGAAATGTCTGCCATTCCTCTCTTCCCTCTGCTTAGCTTCACAGTATGGTTACTGAAGTCAGGAACATGGCCATCCCTGCCTCCTACAGTGAAACATCCCATCTTTAGCTCCTCGGTGTGAGTTTTAGGAATAAAGCATTTTCTAATTCCTGAAGCACAATTCAGGAAAGCCTAAGATGTACATGAGAGTTCACCCATCATCTCAGCTTATTATATGTTACTTTAAGAACATATTTAAGAGCAGAAACATTAAAAACAAAACAAAAAGTGTTTACTTAGCTTATACTTCTGGAAACTTAAGTGCATGGTGCTAGAACTGGCTTCTAGTCAGGGGCCCCAGAGCAGATAGCATGGGCGCCATGTACTGGCATGCATTCTAGAGCAGTGGAAGTACAGGCAGAGAAGTCAGATGATGTCACTATAAGAAGCATCACCGAGCTGCCTTACTTTGTAATGATCTTCTTCAAGATGGTCAGTCGCATTCTATGAGCACCAGAACTCATCTATCAAAACAGTATCAATCCCTTCAAGCATCGTCTCCAACAACTCAAAAGTGGGCACCAAGGCTCAAGTTCAGGTAGAGACACAGCCATTCAAACCATACACATAGACCTCATGGTAATTTAATAAATGCCCTGTGCTTTCATGAAAATGAAAGGATTTTTTTTTATTTTGATGTGATTTAAATGTGCAATTTCCCATATGGACTGTCTCTTGAACAATTAATCCCCAGATGGTGGCAGTACTGGGGAAAATAATGGAATCTCCAGTATGTAGAGCCTTCATTGGGGAAGTGGATAACCAAAGTAAGCCTAAAAATCTGACAAAGTCCACTAGCTATATACATGATCAGCTTCTTGACTTTGGATGCAATGTGACATACTCACTACCAAGCAAGCACATGAACCCTTGCTCCCTTACATTGCCCTTTCCCCCAAGTACTATGTCTTAACACTAAAAATGCAATTAATTTGCTATGGTTTATTCTGTTGCTATGATAAAATATCCTGACAAAAAACACCTGTGGAAAAAATGGGTTTTTAGTGAGTTCAAGCTTAGCTTGAGACCCAGAAGATCCTTCTTCAAAGGCTCAAAAATAAAATAAGAAAAAGAAAAACCGACATCTGTGTCTTAATTGGGGTTTAATTGGTGTGAATAGACACGATGGCCATAGCAATTCTTTTTTTGTTTGTTTGTTTTTGGTTTTTTTTGTTTTTGTTTTTCGAGACAGGGTTTCTCTTTATAGCCCGGACTGTCCTGGAACTCACTCGTAGACCAGGCTGGCCTCGAACTCAGAAATCTGCCTGCCTTTGCCTCCCAAGTGCTGGGATTAAAGGCGTGCACCACCACCACCCGGCTGACCATAGCAATTCTTATAAAGGAAAGCTTAGTAAGTTTTGGGGGCTGACTTACATTACAGAGGTTTAGTCCATTATTGTCATGGCAGGAAGCATGCCTGCCAGCACACAAGCAGATAGTCTTGGAGAGGTACTGGAGAGTTCTACATACAGAGCAGCAAGCAATAGAAAGAGAGAGAGTGGCACTGGTCTAGCATGGGCTTCTGAAACCCCAAGGCCATACCTCCAAGTAGTGCCACTCCCTATGAGTCTATGAGGGCCATTTTCATTCAAACTACCCTACAATGGATTCAGATCTTGCTACCACAGGGTCATAGCCCTATTAAATATTTGAGGCTTTTTTTTCAAGCTTTGTGTCTTCTTTTTGGTGAATTGTGGAGAATGTAGATAGGATTCCTACATTCTAATAATGCCTTAGTATTGAAGAAAGCATAGGTGTACATTTCATAGATGTATTGACTGTACCTCCAATACCTCTAGATGTATATGCTAAAGCCATATTTCTGAGTGGCATCACATTAGGAGGTCCCTACTTACAATGTGGTAAATGTTTTAATAAAAGATACAATACTTGATTTCTTCCCCCCCCCCACCCGTCTAACGATCACATACTAGCAAGCAGCCCTCTCTATATACTAAAGAGTCCTCA